GAGTGGAGAGGAGACGGAAGAAGAAGACAAGCAGCAGCAGCAGCAGCAGCAGCAGAAGCAGCAGAAGAAGCAGCAGCAGCAAACACGGAGACTGCTGACGCAGGAACGCTTCCTAGGCATTTGTAAAGCCGTTGGGTTTGACCCCCTAGACAAGCAGCAGCAGCAGCAGCAGCAGCAGCAGCAGCAGCAGCAGCAGCAGCAGCGGCAGGTGGAGAGCTTTAGAGGGGCTAAGTTGCTGCTGGAGGCGCTGCATTCTGCTGTGCTGCAGCTGGCACCGAAGGAGCAGCAAGCAGCAGCAGCAGGAGCAGCAGCAGCAGCAGCAGCAGCAAACGCAGGAGAGCGCAGCAAGTTTAAACTAGCGAAGCAGCAGCAGGATGATGCAGAGGGTCTGCAGCAGCAGCTGCAGCGGAACAAGGCAGCGTTGCGTCAGCAGCAGCAGCAGCAGCAGCAGCAGCAGCGGCAGCAGCAGCAGCAGCAAAAAGGGGGCCTGTTCCTGCTGCAGGACAGCAGCACATGCATCTTCGTAGCTATCACCGTCGCCCGCCACGCAGACTTGCTGTTTACGGGGCTGTCTTTGCGTGGCTCGAAGCCAGCAGCAGCAGCAGCAGCAGCAGCAGCAGCACCAGCAGCAGCAGCAGCAGCAGCAGCAAGCACAGGCCGCATGCGGTGGATGCTAAAGAGCTTCTGGGGGGACATAACCCAGCTGCTGCTGTTTGCTCGTCAGGCTGCAGCAGCAGAAGCAGAAACAGAAGCAGCAGCAGCAGGAGCAGGAGCAGCAGCAGCAGCAGCAGCAGAAGCAAGCAGCAAGGATCTGGTGCTGCAGCTGCTGCTAGCCATCAGCAGCAAACTGCTGCTGCGGTGGGTTCTCCCCCTCGAAGCAGCAGCAAGACGCCTGCTGCAGGCTGTCTGCCGCTGCTGGGCTTTCTCTAAGCAGCAGCAGCAGCAGCTAGCTGCCTTTGCTGTGCTGCGCAGCTTGCTGCTGCTGCAGCAGCAGCAGCAGCAGCAGACGGGGTCATCAGCAGCAACAAAGGGGGCATCAAAATCACCCCATTCTTCACGAGCAGCAGCGGCAGGAGGAGGAGGAGCAGCAGCAGCAGCAGCAGTTGCTGCTGAAGCAAAGGAGCAGCAGCTGCTGCAGCAGGTGCTGCGGTCGTATCAACGTGCTGCTGCTCGTTTGGGGCTGCGTAGAACCTGGCGAGCAGCAAACCGCATGCAGCTGCTGCTGAACGAGATGAAAGAGCTGCTGTCTTTTGCTGCTGCAGCAACAGCTTATAGACTTGCTTATCAATCTATAAGAGAAGTATCCAAACCCTAAACCCTAAACCCTAAACCCTAAACCCTAAACCCTAGTTGTTCTGTTTCTTCTGTTTTTTTTTTTGTATGCGGGACGCTCGTAAACCCTAAACCCTAAACCCTAAACCCTCTTTGTTGTTTTTTTTTGTTGTTTTTGTTGCATGCAGCTGGCTCATAAACCCTAAACCCTAAACCCTAAACCGTAAACCCTAAACCGTAAACCCTAAACCCTCGTTGTGTTTGTTGTGTGTTGCATGCAGTTGGCTCTAACGGTGCGCAGCGCGGTTGCAGCAGGAGGTGCTGCCTCTTCTGTTGCTGCAGCAGGCCGCAGCAGCAGCAGCAGCAGCAGCAGCAGCAGCAGCAGCAAGAAGAAGAAGAAGAACAAAGAAGTTTATAAGAAGCAGCATCGGCAGCAGCAAGCGCATGCACTGCTCTGCTGCTGGCCCTTTATACACAGCTGCAGCTTATGGGGGGAATCCTTATGCATGCATGATGGGGCTTTGAGGCCTTTGCTGCTGCCGCTTGTATCTGTTGCTGCTGCTGCAGTCAAGCTGCAGCAGCAGCAGCTTGCTGCTGCTCCCTTCTGTCTCAATATGCTTGCTGTTATAGGCAGAGCTGGTGCAGCAGCAGATGCCCTCGTTCCTGTTGCTGCTCCTCTTCTCGCTGTGCTGCAGCTGCTGCTGCTGCTG